TCATGATGCTCGCCTTGTCGGCCCCCTGACGCCCAGCAAGGGGCCATCTGATACTGATGATGTTCACCTTGTCGCGTTCTCACGCCCAGCAAGGGGCCAACTGATGCTGATGATGCTCGCCTTGTCGGGTTCTCACGCCCAGCAAGGCTTAACTGATGCTCATGATGCTCGCCTTGTCGGCCCCCTGACGCCCAGCAAGGGGCCATCTGATACTGATGATGTTCGCCTTGTCGCGTTCTCACGCCCAGCAAGGGGCCAACTGATGCTGATGATGCTCGCCTTGTCGGGTTCTCACGCCCAGCAAGGCTTAACTGATGCTCATGATGCTCGCCTTGTCGTCCCCCTGACGCCCAGCAAGGGGCCATCTGATACTGATGATGTTCACCTTGTCGCGTTCTCACGCCCAGCAAGGGGCCAACTGATGCTGATGATGCTCGCCTTGTCGGGTTCTCACCCCCAGCAAGGCTTAACTGATGCTCATGATGCTCGCCTTGTCGGCCCCCTAACGCCCAGCAAGGGGCCATCTGATACTGATATATACTGATGATGTTCGCCTTGTCGCGTTCTCACGCCCAGCAAGGGGCCAACTGATGCTGATGATGCTCGCCTTGTCGGGTTCTCACGCCCAGCAAGGCTTAACTGATGCTCATGATGCTCGCCTTGTCGTCCCCCTGACGCCCAGCAAGGGGCCATCTGATACTGATGATGTTCGCCTTGTCGCGTTCTCACGCCCAGCAAGGGGCCAACTGATGCTGATGATGCTCGCCTTGTCGGGTTCTCACGCCCAGCAAGGCCTAACTGATGCTCATGATGCTCGCCTTGTCGTCCCCCTGACGCCCAGCCCAGCAAAGGTCTCATGATGCTCGCCTTGTCGGCACCCTCACGCCCACCAAGGGACCAACTGATGCTGATGATGCTTACCTTGTCGCGTTCTCACACCCAGCAAGGAGCCAACTGATGCTGATGATGCTCGCCTTGTCGGGTTCTCACGCCCAGCAGGGGCCAACTGTTGCTCATGAATGCTCGCCTTGTCGGCCCCCTCACACCTAGCAAGGGGCCAACTGATGCTGATGATGCTCGCCTTGTCGGGTTCTCACGCCCGCCCAGCAAGGGGTCAACTGATGCTGATATGCTTAACTTGTCGCGTTCTCACGCCCAGCAAGGGGCCAACTGATGCTGATGATATTCGCTTTGTCGGGTTCTCACGCCCAGCAGGGGTAACTGATGCTCATGATGCTCCCCCTCACGCCCAGCAAGGGGCCAACTGATGCTGATGATGCTTACCTCGTCGTGTTCTCAGGCCCAGCAAGGGAGCAAGGGGCCAACTGATGCTGATGATGCTCGCCTTGTCGGGTTCTCACGCCCGCCCAGCAAGGGGTCAACTGATGCTGATATGCTTAACTTGTCGCGTTCTCACGCCCAGCAAGGGGTCAACTGATGCTGATGATGCTCGCCTTGTCGGGTTCTCGCGCCCAGCAAGGGCCAACTGATGCTCATGATGCTCGCCTTGTCGGCACCCTCACGCCCAGCAAGGGACCAACTGATGCTGATGATGCTTACCTTGTCGCGTTCTCACACCCAGTAAGGAGCCAACTGATGCTTATGATGCTCGCCTTGTCGGGTTCTCACGCCCAGCAAGGGTCAACTGCTCACGCCCAGCAAGGGGTCAACTGATGCTGATGATACTTACCTTGTCGCGTTCTCATGCCCAGCAAGGGGTCATTTGATGCTGATGATGCTCGCCTTGTCGGGTTCTCACCCCCAGCAAGGCTTAACTGATGCTCATGATGCTCGCCTTGTCGGCACCCTCACGCCCAGCAAGGGACCAACTGATGCTGATGATGCTTACATTGTCGCGTTCTCACACCCAGCAAGGAGCCAACTGATGCTGATGATGCTCGCCTTGTCGGGTTCTCACGCCGAACAAGGGTCAACTGATGCTCATGATGCTTACCTTGTCGCGATCTCAGGCCCAGCAAGGGGAACTGATGCCTTTGTCGGGTTCTCATGCCCAGCAAGGGTCAACTGATGCTCGTGGTCAGCAAGGGGCCAGGTGATGCTAATGATGCTCTCCTTGTCGGGTTCTTACGCCCTGCAAGGGTCAACCCCAGCAACTGCCAACTGATGCTGATGATGCTCGCCTTGTCGGGTTCCTGACAGGGGCCAACTGATGCCCTTTTTCGCATGGTGCTTCTGCAAAGAGGCAGACACGGAGCCATGCAAACGCTTCAGGAAGCAGCACACATGTTGTTGGCGTGGCACGGGATTGTTAGGGTCTTTTTCCCATACTTTCCTGCTTGGCAAACGAGCTCGATTATAGGGAGCCCTTACGGGAGCCACATTGGGAGGCCGGAAGCGCCGGAAGAGCCTGAGCCATAAATATGCATGCCGCCCATCCGAACGTGGAGACAGAAAGGGAGCCATGAAGGGAGCCACGAGGTACACGTGAGGATGATAGAGGAAGGAAGGAAGGGAGACCAAACACGGGCCCCACAGCCCATCCGAACCAACAGCTAGAAAGGGAGACATGAAGTGAGCCATCGCGCCCATCCCATTCTGAGGAGAGGAGGGAACGCACGTGTCGGTACTACATATCCCCAAAAAAGCAGTCTCCAGACTCTGCTCATCTGTGGTGGGCACCGGAACTCACACATTTGCACCGCTAGTCTCACATACATTGGTGCATCAGGTGCAGAAGCAATAACAGTCGAGCACCCGGCGGTGCATTGGTCAATGAAGCTCGCTGCCTACGAGCAATCTTGCAGATGCGCAGGCGTCCATCGACAATGTGAAGTCCTTACATGTCCTTCCCCGCGCCTTCTGCAGCATCTGCCCTCGAACACCACGCCACCGTGTCTGCAGATGGACCTGAGCTGGGGAGTGGCCAGAACTGTCAAAGACAAAGGGACACGCCACAGAGAGTCTAAGCATGTCCAAGCGTTGGGCGGCCGCTTCATTGCATTTTTTGAGGTCATCAAAGTTGAGAGTCAACCTGTAGCAGGGGCGGATGCACAGGATTTGGGCATGGATTGGAGCTGGTTCCCTGCAAGTCTCTGGCGTGAAGTAAGTGCTGACTGGCGGATTGTACCTCTTGTAGTTCAAGCATTCTCAGACATTCTCAGACATTCTCAGACGCCAAGTCTCCGCTTTGTAGGTCCGTTGGGGCCCGCACGCCACAGCTTCGCCTGGCCTCATGCCGGGCTTGTGCGCATTCATGCCAATCCTGCTCAGAACATGCGCACAAGAAAGATGGCTGTACACGGACAGTGGCTTGCGTGCGTGGCCCTGAACTTTTGACATCTTCGGATAGATGAATTCAGGCAGCGGCTGGAGCGTTCTGGGATCACTCCTGTCAATGAGCGACTGCACCTGTTCAGCGTTCTTGCAACACAGGGCTGAAACAGCTTAACATCATCTAAGCACGCTCCTGAACCCCCAACAAGGAAACCAGCAATGCCTGCCAGATTGGCCACACGGTTGTCGCTACCTCGCAGAACGTAAGTTAATGCAGGGCGACTTGCTGCAAGCAAAAGTTGTCAGTGAGACTCTTAATCACTTTTTGAGGAAAACATGAAACCGCATAGCTCTGCAGAACGTTGGGTACTGCATAGACCCAGCGGTCTGGGATGTTGGCTTAGTCACCTACAAAGAGAGTGGAGGCATAGCCGGCCCTGCATCGTGAGCACGAGCGACGCTCACACTGCGAACATGTCGAAGTGAATCGGCAATCTATAACACCGTGGAAGCTTCTGGAGGCCGTTGAGCCCTTCTCTGCACCCCTCGACAATTCATCCTACCGCCATGACTATCGAAGTTGAATCTGAACCGAGAAGCTCATGTATCACGAAAGACTATGCCCAAAAAAACGCCTAAGCCTAAACCAAGTCTGAAAGAATGCCGTGAGCTTCCTTGTTTCCGAGCTAGCGGCTGACGTGCGGCAATAAAACAACTGCACTCGTCGATATGACTTTAGCGCCTGTAGGCAAGCAACAGCAAAAGTAGTTAAATCAATAATAATTACAGTAGTTAGCCAGGCTCTGAAGGATTCCTCCAGTTTAAGAGCAAGCCCTCCGGATTCATTTGCTTGCTGGTTCCCGGTGCCGAGCATGTGGCTGCCGTGCTCGAGCCCCCACTCTCAGGCTCAGCCTGAGCACAAGCCCACAGAAGTCAGTGCAGCGCCTGCGGGTGGGAGGGGACATGATCTGATCCAAGCAGGAAGATGTCTCAGCGGCCCGCTAGCACAAGCCAAGTTGGATCAAGCAGCAGCTGGCGCTTCACCCTTAGATTTTACACAGTGCCGCAGCTCGCATCAGCTATCAGCAAGCAACTCCCGTGAGCTCAGGCCGGCGCTTGTTCAAGGACGTCAAGCTACAGCTGATGCCTGGCACCAAGCCAAAACCCCGACGAAAGATTGTATCGACATCCCAGAAGCAAAACTGAACTCTTGCGACCTCGTTTGCCCTGTTGCCCGTCGTTTTAAACCCCTTGATCCAAGCGCGGAGGCACACTGCCCCAGACCTGTGTCTGTTTGTTGCGTGTGTGAGCACGTCACCCTCTGGGGACTTCTACGAACAACTAACTGCCATCGATATCTTCAAGATAGGTGGCATGAGGCGAAGCACAGTTCCGAACTGCAACACAAGTTGATTCAATCCTGCGTTTGTTATCTAGGATCCAGCACCACTGTGTGACCTCGCGGAACCGCTGCAGCCTTGGCAGCACCTTTGGAGGGCTCGGTGCAAGCTTGCACCAGCTCTCTGCTGCCTTGTAGACGTTAGAAACTACGGTTGGATGATCTTCAACCAAGCTCGCTAATTTGCCCAGCTTACTTTGACTGGACATCTTTATGAAGTGCACTTTGTGACAAGTCATGAACTTTGGATTCTGCATGCATCGATGGACTGGATCTCCACCCGCGCCCAAACGTGCAGGTGGCGAACAGCCAGCTAATTAGTTTTAAAATTGTTTCTTGTGTCAAGACCAACGTTCTTGCAGGAGCTCTAAGCATGCAGCGCAGGGAGGCTGGAGCACCTCTTCCAGTATGCGTTTGCTGAGTGCCCGCACCTCTGCAGGTGCAGTACTGGACTTTGCTCTGGCTAGCTGTTTCACCACAACACGCGACAAGTGCGCAAACTCTGGTGCGAAAACTAGGGCCACTAGGGCGCATGTCGATGTGCTTGTTCTCCTGGCTGTACCTTGCTATCAAAGTCGGATTCTGGCAAAAGAACCTATGCACGGTCGCTAGTCGACAGTCGCACTGTCTGACAACATTCCAGGCTTGATGTTCCAAGCATTTGAGGGCTCTGGGAGAACGACTCGCTGTGATCTTGCAAGGAGCAGCAGCCGAAATTCAGAAGTCGGTACTTCGATTCATTGAAACCGTCTCTGGGTCAGGGGCTGAAGGTCTCGCGCATGACGGTTTGCATTCGACATTTCGTTCCTTACCAGTTATCAGGCTATGAGATGCGCAGGAACGCCCCTGCCCAGGCAGACACATTCTAACCTCTGAGCCGAGGAGCCTAAAAGCTGTATCTGCACGTCTAGCCTTCTCGGTTCTCCGGTCTGCCGTGTCTTGCATGTCCATGTACTGCTTGTGATCCGACTCCTTGGCCAGGCGATCTCAAGCATTGCAGAACCACGCCCGACTCTTGCCCGACGCAAGCCAGAAGCAGGCCGCCAAGCTTCCACGTTCCGTTTCCGCTGGTCCTTCGCGCGAACCTGCAGACATCAAAAGCGGCGCTCGAAGAATCCCATCCGCTCCATACACGGGCCGATGCTGTCATGATCCAATGCTGGCCGCGCTGCCTTTACGTGGTCCTCCTTGTGCTGCTCCAGAAGAAGGCGGTCCTGGCGCCGGAGGACTTCTCTGTTGAGGCCGGCGACGTGGTCCTCAGCTGCCCGGTGCTTACATTGGCTTATCAGGGCCCAGGGCAAGGGTTCCTGATGGCATGACCTGACAGGGATTTGAAGCCACGAGTCCGCATTCTTCTTGGCTTCGAGGGCATCTTGGCTGCTCAACTGGAACTGCTGCTTGGTTGCAATCCTTGGCCAGGGATGCCCTGCCGGATGTCGCATGAACGCAGTGCGACATGTTCCAGTTGAACCCGCAACTGCACAGTGCCGAGTCCGACTCTCTTGCAGCTCCTTTCGCAATCGACGTTCTGCATCCTCGCGACGCTAGTAGTAGCAAGGGGGACGTGCCTTGCAAGCTCCGCCAGTACTCAAAGGCGAACGCTGGGCCCTGGTCCTTCTTCTCCTTCTTCTTCGACTCCAACCTGGCCGCGACCTCTATGAGAACATCCTCTCTGTGCCGATCTTTCCTCAAAGATCATCTTCCACGACATGGTGACGGCTAGTGACTAGCGACTTCGTAGATAGTCATCCGTGAAGAGAGTGTAAAGTTATGTAAAGGTGATCGAGGCAGCCAGCAGTCGCACATATTCAACGTCTGAGTCCAAGTGGCTTGGCTTCCTCGGCCACCCGCTGCTTTCCTTGGACGCGGAGAACTCGGGAAGATACCGATGGTGCAGGGACTCAAGGGAATTTGTGAATTTGTCATCTGTCTGCTGGCAAAGCTCGCGCATGGTCCTTGCTCTCCAGCAAGTGCTCTTTTGCTTGCTCTCGAACGCGCGCTAGCAACTGCACCTTCTCAGTCAGGAGCTCATGTTTCTCCACCTGACCATGGAATACCCAGTGACAGGCACACACAAAGGCACACAGATGAACAGCAGCAGCATACATAGCAACTATATGACAATTGTAGTAGCAGCCTTAGTAAATTCCTTTTTGCAACGGGCGCAGCGCACAGTGCACCTACCAACTTCCTCCTGCACCTCCACCACCTGAACAGGATCCACCTCCGAAGCCGCTCGCATTTCCGGAAGACCGGCCGAACGAATCACTTCGTTCCGTACTCCAACTCGAGGGCTCCTCCCAAGTTCCAGATGATGTAGGCAATGTAGCCGATTCATCCGAGCTGCCTTCGAAATGCCTCTGCCAAAGGTATGTCCGCTGGGAGTTCCCCAGGTCTTCAAACTGAAAGTTCAAAGCTTCCCTTAGTTGGCGAAGTGTGTCTGTCGAAGCCAAGCTCAGCACGACCGGAACTGTTGCAGCTGTTACCACACGAGGGTCGTCGAGTCTGCAGAGTGGGCAGGTCTGGGAGCGCTGGAACCACTCCGAGAGACAATGGTCATGAGCCAGGTGGCCACATCTCAACAACTCAACGCTGCCCACGCGGCCCAGACCCTGCTCCAAGAAATCCGAAGCATGCAGCGGTCGATCGCCCAAGCAATCCAAACAAACCGGACAAGGATTTGCAGCAAGATCCTCGCTACTAGACCTTTCTTCCAATGAGTCCACGAGCCGCTTTAGGCGGCCTGCTCGTTCAGCATATGCCCGTGCCCGCTGGCGATAGCGACGCCATGCATTCCAAACCAAAAGAACCAAGAGCAGTGCCGCACCTAGAACAAAAGGTCTCAGTCGACGCCAGACTTTCCGCCACCAAATACTGTTAACAATTTGGCGTGCTACTCCTAGAACTGCGGCATCAACCTCACCTTTTTTCAGGAGCTTGCCAGCATCCACTAGTATTTCCTGGCAGGCGGCATCCGGCAAGTACGTTTGTATTCCTCGTCCTGTGACGATGCGATGCTGCCGCTGGTTTAGCGCCAGCACATACAACACTCCATCATTGACGCCTTTACTGCCGATGCCCCAAAGATCGAAAAGCTTCTTGCAATACTTCTCAAAATTAGATTCCAATGCTCGCGACACGATGGCAAAAGCAACTTCGTGAGGCGTGCCCCGCAATAGCTTGTCAACGGCAAGCCGAGTGGCAACAGCAAGCAAGCCGTCTGGATCTGCAACGCTGGAAGACACAAGTCTGGGGCTTGGGATATGTCTTGCAGCGTGGCCCGCCATGGCTATTCAGTCCTGTAGAACCGCAAAGTATCACATAGAGCACCAAAAGTTGTCAAGGATCCTGCTTCGAGCCAACATTCCTGCATTCTGTGTCGTGAGCCGGTCCAGGCTCCTGTTGCTCGTCGTGGCCTTCTTGGCCAGTTGCCGCTCACGCTTTGCCTCAACGCTCCTCCAGGGAAGTCCAGAGCTGTACACAGCCGCGCGAACTGCCGTCGAAAGTTGCTTCTAGTGTCCCCCCACACCCCCCGAATTGCCCAAACCTCCGTGCCTCGCGTGCTGAATCTCCATGACTTTGAGACGCTCCTTCAGCTCAGAGAAGGACATCTCCTCGAGGAATCCGTGGGCCGGCGCCTGCCAACCGTGCGCAGAGGCGAAGAGTCTGTATTACTGATATATTGAGTCTGAAATTGTACATATACATACGTATAGTTCCATTCTGCAGATTGTAGAGCATAAACATGGACCAAGCAAGAAGAGTTTTTTTAAGTATAATATACTCCGGGACCCGGGATTCAAGATCGTGGGAAACTTTTCTCTGGGACCTTGAATCTTGAATCTTGAATCCCAGAGTCCCTGGATTGAACTTCAAAACTCACAGGCCTAGTATTCAACATGGTCGTCATATCCCGAGGGTGACGTGTAAGAATTTGTTATTTTTGGGTGTGGTTTGCTTATAAGCAGTTGGGTTGCTTACAAGCAGGGGTGTGGGGGGAGGGGGGGGGGGAGGGGCTGTTCTTCCAACTTAAGCCCCAGGACCCCTGCTACCCCCCCCCCCCCCCCCCGCGCTTCGCTCCCCTCCGCTCCGCTCCCCTCCCTGATTTCTTTAAGGGCCTTTCAGGGCTTATCTCTAAAATTTTCATCGGTTAAGGGTGTAAGATTTGTAAAGAGAAGCCACGAAACCTTATAGGGTTTCAGGTGTTAATCCCTAAGCCTTAAAGCCTACAGGGTTTAGGGTTAAACCTTCAACCCACAACCTTTCAACCCTATATTGTTTCAAGGTGAAGCAATTAAACCTCAACCTTTTATCTTTAAACCCTATAGGGTTCAGGCTTGAAGGTTTAGGGTTTAAGGTTGAGGCATTTAAACCTAAACCCTTAACCTATAGGGTTAAGGTTTAAAGATTCAGGGTTGAAGAACTGGGCATTTAAACCTAAGTCATAAGCCGCAAGGGTTTAAGGTTTGGGCATTCAAACCTTAGCCCGTGGAGTTTTTCCGCAAGGGTTTAAGTTCACAGGTGTTAACCCCATAGGCGCTGAAGGTATAAATGCCCAGACCTTAGGTACCTCAGGTTTAGGCATTAAGACCTTTAAACCCTGTAAGGTTTTTGAAGGTTTAAGGTCTGGGGATTTAAACCCAGGTTTGGGCATTCAAACTGGTTTAAGCCTTAAGCCCTACATGGCCCCTATAGGGCTAGGTATTGAAACCGAATAGATGGCCTTTAAACGCTGTAGGTTTACAGGTTTAGGTTCAAACTTTTAAGCCCTACAAGTTTGAAAGGTTTAGGGTGTATCTACCCTATCGGGGTTAGCCCTATAGGGTAACCCTAAACCCTCAGGGATTTAACCTCTTTACTGTTTTCCTTAAGCCTGAAAGCATACAGGGTTTAGGGTTATAACGCTGAAGGTATAAATGCCCAGACCTTAGGTACATCAGTTTTCGGCATTAAGACCTTTAAACCCTATAAGGTTTTTTGCATTCAAACTGGTTTAAGCCTTAAGCCCTCTAGGGCCCCTATACGGTTAGGTGTTTAAACCGAATAGGTTACCTTAATAGTCAAAACCTCCAAGCCCTATAGGGATTAAAGGTTTAGGGATTTTCAGGGTTTATCCTGTGGGGTTTAAACCTCGGGGGGGTTAAAGGTTTAGGGTTTAAGGTTGGCATTGCAAAAAGCGTAACCCTAAACCCTCAGGGATTCAACCCCTTTGTCTGATCTCCTCAAGCCTTAAACCATATAGGATTTAGGGTTATGACGCGGGTTTAGGGTTATGACGCAAACCCTATAGGATTAGGACCTTGTAACCCTATATTAGAGGGCTTGTGGCTTAAATCCTACACCTTCAGTCCCATAGGGTTCCGCCTATGGTTGTAGGGCTTGCCTCCTGTGGAAATGCAAAGGAAAAGTAGAAGAAGTACCCACTTCATGTATGTATATAGGATATATGTACTGCATATCAAATACAGATAATGCAGAAGCCTCGAACCATAAGCCTAGGAAGTATTCGAGAGCATGGGGTGATGCGGAAAATCATGTACTGTAAGCCCCGGGGACGCGACAATACTGTGAGCAAGTGGTTTTTTTTACTATTTCCTAGGACCGTTCCACAGGCTGCTAGTAGTTGCTCGCAAGCATCTGGCTTTTCATTCTCAATGCTTCCCACATGGTTATCATTTCTCAAAGATAATGCTCATTGCAAACTATCCGCAAACCATAGGGGCCGGTGCAAGCTTCACTCTCGAAAACCCGAAAACGGTGGATAACAGGGGGTAGCATATACATATATACACACACACATTGTTTTATGATTGTTTTTGTTGCTTGTTTTTGGTGTGTATGCTATGTTATGCATACTATATTTTATACGGTTACATATAGCGTGCATGGTATACATGATACGTTATTCGTTTTACATGATAAATATATATATATATATATATATATATATGTATACACATATATATATATATATATATTACATACCTATATTTATGTTTACTTATTTATGTACACAAATAAACGCACATGGAGATACTAACTTGTTTATTTATGTACACACAGGCGTCACGCTCTCGCTTGCTCTTCTAAATTCTTCCGCACAGCCGAAACAAAGTTGGCCTCGGCGCGATCAAAGACTTTCGCGCTCTCGCGTGGGGCACGCTCCAGAGCGCGGATCTGACGAATGATCTCCCTCTTGCCTTGCCAGTGTGCAGCAACGACCACCACTGCTCTGTCAGACAGGACACACCGCGTTCTGGGGGTGTAGGGTTTAGGGTTTAGGGTTTAGGGTTTAGGGTTTAGGGCTTAGGGGTTTAGGGGTTTAGGGGTTTAGGGCGTCGAAGCCGGGAAGTGCATCAACGTGACGCTCCATCTCACTCTCCTCCTCCTTCTTCTTCTTCGCCAGGTCGATTTCTTTCTCCCTGCGTCGTTGCCTTCGTTTCAGGATGCTTAGAGGCGAAGCTCAGCCGCTCAGCCACTCGTGCGCCTTATGAGAAGCTGCCGCTGAGCCACTCGGCGTGCTCCTGCTTCGTCACAAAAACCTCCTGCTCAGCAACGCGTGCCTGGTCAAACCATCGCTGCTTGTAGGTTCAGGTGGTATCATACAGCACACATGCTGAGCGGCCACTGCCCTGCAAGCCGGCATACGGAGCGTTGCCTTCTCTCGGTCTTCTGTAGTCTGCTCGACGAGTTTCTGCTTCTGCTCGAGCTCAGCCTCGTGCCTAGGCAAGCTTGAATCTGTGCCGTTCCGTTCAGCATTCCGAACTTCTTCGATGAGCTCAAACCGGGGCTTGAAGAGCCTAACACCTCTTGCAGCAGGTCTCCTCACAACTGCCTGCTTCAGAATGCCCAAGTCTCGGCACTACTGACTGAGTCTGACGCATTCTGAAACAGGGCGAACCTAAACCTACCTATACCTACCTAATCTTCGTACTTGATACATATTCATGCAACATTGTGTGTGAGGGCGTATCCTTGGCCCGGGTTTGTGCAGAGCCCTAACAAGGCGAACTGAGAACTACCTGCATAAGCCGGGTTCAGGTTCCACGACGGCAAGATTGTGACCTGTGTGATCGCACAGGCCTAACCAAGCATCGGCCAGATTCGATCTATGCTGAGTCAAGTCGCTGTCGCTCTTTTGCTTCCTGGGCAGCCAGCGCATCAGGCACATGGCATGGCAGAACCAGTGCATAACACATGCCTCGCAGCCAGAACCGCATGCCACCAAGGGGCGAGCTGTACTTGCATGTCCTTTTTCCTCAGGTACACGGAGCACACTTGCCCAAGGACATTGGTGCACGCAAAGGCCAGCTCACATGGTGCAGCGTGTATTCATCGCGGAAGTGAACTCTGCAGTATTCTGTCAAGTAGCTGAAACTCAGCTTGGATGGTCTTCATCCTTGTTGTTGCTTCTTGTGCTTCTGCAGCAACATCTCTTGCCAGCTGCGTCTGGATGATGCGCTCCTTTGTCCGGGCCTCTTCCTCGAGGAAGTCCTTCCTCCGCATGCACAGATGGCACGTCCGCGCATGAACTAGAATGACATGTATAAGAATGTTGAACTGAGCCTAGGGTCTTTCTCATCCGGTCTTGCCACGAATAAAAATCAGAGGCATCATGAAGTTCAGCCTCATACTGTTTGAGCAAGTCGTGCTCTGCCTGCAGCGTCTGTCTCAATCGCGCATCTTCTCGAAGCACTTGTGCCACATTCTGTCGCACTGTAGCATCATCCGTCGGCATGATCCGCTTGTTAGGCTTCGGCTGGAAGGTACATTCAGCCATGACCTTCTTATCTGCATCCTCTTGAAGCTGTGTTCGGATCGTCTCATAGTCTCTTCGACTGGCTGTCTCTAGGGTGAACTCGTCATCCATCGAGTACTTCGCAGCAACCTTTGTCTTCTCTTCCTCCAGCTGCCTCTTTCTCTCCTCCTGTATTGCCGCCAGGCTCGTCCGGTTGATGTGCGCAGGCACGGGATGGGCGGTCCAGTCCTTGTGCACTGCACTCTCTGGTTCCGGGATCAACCTGCACGGGTCAGAACAGCACGACGTGTGTTTCTTAACGATTCCTTTCTGACAGCACGCGCCTGGGCTTCACGGCTGTGAGATTGAACGGCTCAAACTCGGTGGGTTTCTTGTCAGACTTCACCGTGCCAGGCCCTCGTTGACCGCCCGACTTTGCAACACCTGTCGCTTTGAGCTGCATGTCGGACATCAGCGGTCTCAGTTCATCTGCACGGCGATGAAGCTTGCCGAGCACGTCCTGTGCATTCAGAGAATCCTATCCTGGCCATCGATGTTCGTCAAAATTCGAAAACGCAAAGGAAGGCTGAGCGACAGCCAACGATGCAAAGGCCCCACGTGGCAGAACCAGTCGTCACGCCCAGCCAGAGCACATCGAGCAAAAAGAAAGTCTTAGTTCATCATAGTCTATCATAATCCGTGATAATCTAGCAAGGTGCTGGTGAAACTTGCTCCTCGTCCAAATAATCCGGGTCATAGTGCTTGAGCCACTCCTGCATGACCCAGTCGTTCAGCTCCTCCCGATCCAAAGCGTACTGCCTGTCAGAAGAACAGGGTTTAGGGTTTAGGGCGTTTTTCCCGGTTTAGGGGGTCAGATTTGGGGTTTAGGGTTTAGGGTTTAGGGTTTAGGGCTTAAGGGTTTAGGGTTGAGGGTTTATTCGCACTTGGCTGTGGGCCCTGGGCCAAAGTGACCCGGAGTCCATACATCCGAGACACATGAGGGCGAAGATGGCTGGAGGGCTTCCATATCCGCAAAAGATAAACTTCCGAAAGTCTTGCAAGCCCAGCTCATCCAGCCTCCCAACGGGTGACGGGTGCTCATGAAACACACACTCTACAATATTCTACAATGTTGAGGGACTGGCTACTGCCGGCTATCAAGTCAGGCAATGGGCAAGACATCGGCCAGCCTGAAAAAGAGAAGGTAAGCCAGCACCTGGTACAAGCCTTGCTCCGATCTGATGGCAATAGCAGGGACCTTGAAGGCAAAGCTCGTGACAAACAGTCTCAGAAGCTTGCTGTAGCGATGGCAGCCGTAGAACACCTGATGGATGAACTTGAGCTCCACCTCTCCAATCATGGGGTCTTGCAAAAATTTGGCGTCGTCCATGTAGGCATCCACAGTTGTAACCTTGGGGTTGAATGTCTCCAGCAACCTGACGCATTTTTTCCTCGGCTACGCGGTGTGGACATGCGAGCACATGTGGTGGAGGCCTTTTTTTTCCTAACGCTGGCGGTCCCTATGTTCCCCTAACGTTGAATGCTGGATTTCCGGCTGTGCACTGGCTCTAACGGCGACAGAGTAGTGCTGCAATTTAAGCTGTTCACAGGCTTCCCAAATCTCGCGGGTCCAGCTGTTCACAGGCTCCGAACGGTTGACAATTACAGCGTGTCCAGAGAAGCAGGGGACAGGACCAGAGACCGGGGGCCAACCCCCAAGGGACCCAAGCCCTCAGCAACCACAGAAAACAAAAGCCGTGACCAATACATGTGGCCCAAACAAGAATGCCCAGGTTCAGAAGCAGCGTGCACTTCGCGGAAGCCTCTTGTGGAATGCCAGCGCTTAGCAACTCCACCGTTTCTTGGGCCATGGCGCACCAAGCATAATTCAGTGCCAGTGTCCGCCGCAGACCCGCAGAACCACAAACGGCTGCGGAGCAAAAACAGAAAGAAGAAACTTGGTAGACCATCCTTGGGCATCCAAAACCCTGGCACGGTTCACCAGTACTCTTCGACGCTACATGATATATGACATATGAGATATGATATATGATATAGAATACACGATACTATGCTACAGTGAAGGGATGTTGGGGCTCATATGGCCCATCTTCTCGGAGTGCCACTTCAAACCTGCTGGCAGGGCAGGTGTAGCTGCCCAGGTTCAGATTGCCACCTTCACGAAGGCGCCCAGAAGCCTCTTGTGTTTGTGCCAGTTGCTCTGTCTGTGTTCGAAGATGCGAGGCGAGGTGTTGCGCACACACAACACACCCTACCTCCACAGGCAGCTGGATCGGCAATGGCTCATCACCTCCAACGAGCAACCACGGTGCAAAAACGGCAGTCTAGGATGCAACTGCGGCCACGCTGCTGTACCGGAGCCACTGCGGACCTGTCTGCTGTCTGTTCCCACACCCAACTGACCTCCTCCCTTCGGAAAGCCAGTGTCGGCAAGTGACTGAATTCATAATGGGTCATCCTGGCGTGTTCCTGGGCTTGGGTTCCTGAAAGGAGGTTTGAACATTGCTGGCAGTAGTGGATCTTCTCAAGAGTCTCCTATCTTTTGCTTTGGTTGGTTTTGCTTTTGCTTAACTTACCTGGAATACCTGTTGACAATAATCTCAAACCGAGCTGTCTCTCGAGATGAGCTTGTGGCAGCCTCCTGGCTGCTCTTCTGCCTTTTGCAGTGCACCTGAGCTGCCGTCATATCCAGCTCTTGCCTTCATCCGCAGCTTCGCCATTGGAGCATCTTGAGGCGTCCGCCAGGAAGGCTTCGAACTAGCCGCCTGCTTCTCAAGACATGACAGGCGCATCAAGAGAGCTTTCTTGAATCTACAGCCGACAGCCGACTCCGGTCACGAAAGTGAATTAGGACTTGCCTGCACATCAAGAGGCTGCGCACCTGAGCAAGCTCGTACACACGGCATTCAACGCACGCCACTTTCTTGCAGTGCCACAAGCAGGACTTTCTGATGACAAGACCGGGGCTCCGACGGCATGCTGTGCAGCAACAACAATTCCAGGCCGTTGTAAAGACGGTCGCCTTTTTGGCGGAGGCAAATCATGGCAAAACAGCTTCAAGCCGTCCAAAACAGAGAACACTTCACGAATACATGTGTCGGCCAGGCTTTGTCCCAGACCTGCCCATGCTAACGGCACGGCCTGACACTTGTCGAATGATTTGCAATGTGTCCAACGGCTGTGCAATGTGCCAATTTGGAGTTGCTTCGTGACCACTAGCAGACTAGCACATGGCCTTCAGGCGGGGCCAGGCGCCTCAGGGGTTGACGGCGCCGCGAGGTTCAGCATCCAAGTACATAAGGCTTGGGCCGCGGATCCGCAAAAAACTCCGGGAGGTGAGGAAGGCCAGCCTCGCAGCCACGTCTTCGCTCGTTGCGCGGCAGCTTGCTGTCCCATCTCCCAGACATTGTGCAAACAAAATATGACACGTCCGACCTTGTGCTGTTCCCATTCCTCACAGAAGACGTCAACCTAAACAAGTTGCAGGACTTTCCAGTGCTTTCTGCTGAAGGAGAAGCAGTGAGCGCAGCACGAGCCAGGCACCGCCATCCTCTCCAGTTTGTGCCTTCAGGCGGCTACAATCACGGCAAAAAAGAAGGGCACAGGAATCACTGCGATTTGCTCTTCTTGCCTGCGCACGTGCCCTCAAGGAATCACTTAGGAGAGACTTCTCCAACACCAGAAAGGAGCGATGACCCGCCTCTTGGAGGACATTCCGCACTTGGGAGGCGGCTGCGTGCATGGCTGCCGAGGCCACCCTAGCAAGATGTAGCAAAGGTTCAGGGACGCAGTGGGACTCACAAAAGCAACGCACGAGGCAACAAATCGGTCGGTATCGCTGCTGGGCCGCAGCATGGACGGAAGGCGGCATGGCCTGTGCATGTGGTCCGCAAGGGGGCAACTTGCCAAATGACGCACTCAAGTCTGGGAGCTGCACGTGCACCACCTCCAAGAACATGCGCACCTGAGCTGAGAGGCACAATGGGCTATTCTCCAAGTCAGCCTATGTTAGCTTCCAACACCCGAGCGCCGAGTGAATGGCCAACGCCATGTACGGCTTTGGCCTCAGCAGCCAGCATGTGGGGCGCAAACCACAGCCACTGCAACTTCATGAGGTGATGGCTGCCAGCTCATTCGCTCAGAAATTGCCTGCACCATGCATCAAGCAAAGAAGCAAACGGAAGAGAAATCAGAAATGCTTTAGCTCAGCGAGTTCTCGAAAGACCCCGCCTGCAGAAGCAAGGAGAGGGCCTGTGGAAGCGTGTCGGAGTGTGCCGGCGAGGTTGCAGCCTGACAGCCAGGCTTCATGCCACGGCAATCCATGTCAGATCCACGTAGCTAGGGACACAAGTGGCGCACAAGTGGCGCGCAAGTGGCGCACAAGTCGCAAGCCTTGGACCGGGATGCCGAGGATGCGGACGAACTCTTCGAAGCTGCCGATTGCTTTGGGAGCACCTGCGCAGTCCTCGCATGCAATGTGCCCTGAGCAAAGCTCAGCATGGTCAAGGAGCATCAAACTTTAAAAGGCTGAGGGCTGCACGTCAGAAAGTCACTTGAGAAGACCTTCCTGGCGTCATGGACAAATGCATCGCCGCCCATGGTCACCAAACCGAGACGAGCCCAGTGGAAGATGGAAAAGTTCATGTGGACAAGTCGGTTGTCTCTCTTCGTCGCGTGATTTCACATCCGGATGTTGTTGACAAAAGCTTTTGAAAGTTCACCAACAAATAGGAGGAAGATGGAGGCACCGAGCGTTTATGCATGCAGAACCTTTTGAAAGCGTGGAAAGTCGAACGCAGCACCCCTCAACAGCATCTTGATGCGGGGCCAGAAAAGGGAGGGACGAGAGGGAGGGAGCGGGAGGGCCAGGAGTAAAACTCCCGATCATTCGGCGTGATGGGGTCAAGCCCATCAATTACCCGGGGACTTCACTTGTAACGAAACCTCCGATGGAGCTCGCTTTCGTGACAGTAGGTCTGACTCGAGAGCCGGTTCACTTACAAGTACCTCCCTTTTTGGGTTTCCCTTGTTGGGTTTGCTCAAGTTGGCGGCTGGGCCACTGCCGCAAGGCTACATGCAAAGCGAGATGAGCAACAGGCCTCTTCACAGTGCAGCTGTGAATAACCGACGCCGCCATGAGGAAAGTGCGATCCTGTCACGGTGCTCAAGGGGCTTGGACATGCCAGCTCTCCCTGGGCTCTCCCATGGTCATTGTGGGAAGTCTCTGAGACGATGTCAGCAGATCAGTGGCTCCGACCCTCACTGTAAGCGTGGACGCCCACCCACCTATCCTGCAAAGTGCATGAACAGATGCGCAGGCCGTTGAACGCAGCGTGCGCGCAGGCTCTGGCCCCATGGATTGCCGACAGCACTTCTCAGTGCCGTGGTGGTCAGCATCATGCGTGGTGAAGTAGCTCGGCTGACGCACGTTCCATCATAGGCATAATAAGCTCGTGAGAGAGCTGAGCTTTGCCGAGCTGCCTTGTCTGTGGCCGGGTGCCGGGTTTGAGTTTTGAGGTCAGCTGGCCGTTCGGCCCCTTCCGCACTTCGCCAAGCGGCCCATCTTGCTGCGGATGCTGTGGCGGCAATTTCTGTGGCTGCTGGTTTTCTGCACCTCGCAGGCTGGGGCTGTCAAAGAGTCTCTGTCCCATCTAGGACCATGAACAAACAGGGCTGCACTCGGGCAGGCGCTTGTGCAGCCCACCACTGCAACACTCCATTTGAAACAGATAAAATGCGAAGGGAAGTCTCGCTCGGACGTCTCTTGGTGAAAGTTGCTGTGTCAGCCTCTTCAAGACTCGCTTCTTGTCTTGCCTAATGTGTTACGGAAGTGCGGCTGATAAAGCAGTCTGTTTGGATGCGCTTTTTAAGCGCAACGAGAAAAAATTGCCAGATGTCAGGCCGACAACCTGCGAAAGTGAAAGCGGAGAGCGCGCAATGGCGCACACAAGCTAGCCACAGTTCTCGTTTGTTTGGCTCAGCTGGGCAATGGACTAAACCATTTTTCTTTCCTGGCAACGAACATACCCCCACCAAAGACTCGTGGGCGCACTTTGGAGGCCTTAGCGTTGTCGCACCTACTCGGTGTCCAATCATCTTGCAGTCTACAAGTCGCCGAATGTCGTTTACTTCAAAGGGTGGTCTCGCTGCTGGAACATCTGGAGCCCAAGACTAGGAGGAGTTTACGGGGCTGAGTTGAGAGGTTTCGCCAGTGGCCCAGGAACTGAGAAGCCTTCCATGCCCTCTATCTGCTTTGCAGGCAGAGGTGCATGGGCAAAGCTGGTTTTCAAAGCGCGTTCAGCTGCCACCACGAGAACTGGAGCTGTGATTCTGTGTCATCACATCTATCATCTCTCTTCAGCTTTCGGCATGCTACAGTAGAGAAGTACAGAGCCTCAGCTCTTGACCAGCGCAGCGACGCGAGCAGCGTATCAACAAGGGACGAACCCTCAAAGTCTATTGGAAGAGCGCCATAGGGCCTATAGGGCATCTCAGAACGGCAAGTCAGTACCTTGAGAAGGGGCATGTCCAGGTCGCCAACTTCCGGAAGCCGTTTTGGGTCCTGAAATCTGTCTGACATTCTGTCCAGCTGAACAGACCACTTCGCTGTCTACACGGCATGTTTGGTAGGAGAGAAAACCACAAACTCGCACAGAAAACACAACAAACCTGCATCAAGCCCCTGGCCCTCAATGCCCTCACTCCCTGCAGGCTTTAATGATTGTACGGCGTCATGCCGAGACACATGCTGCGGGCGTACTGCTGAAATTGCTCCTGCAGACGGGTGAGCAACCAGCAGCCATGAACAAAAAGCTCGATTTGCCTCATTTCTCGTGCAACGTTGCGTTCGGTCCCGCTGCACTATCTTCTGACGAGCTTCCTCCTCCTGCCAGGAAGGGAGACATGAAGCAATTCAACAGTTCGAGTTTCAGGTGCGGCGTGAGCACCACATTTCCGTCGCGGTTTGCAGTTAACGGGTCCCGGGAGCGAGAAGCTTCGGAATCTCTCAGAGTCGAGTCCTACGCCTACGTGTTCGCTTGCCGACTTGCCGAGTCAAACTCCCATTTTCTTGCCACAAAGGACCAAAAGTCCTCGTGCCGAGTGAAACAAAACTCGCACGCCCACAAAGACCGCCCGCACAACGCGAGATCATCGGCAAGATTGCAGCCACTTCTGCGGCATCATTACCGGACAGCTCTTGCAAAATCATGCTTCTCAACTGCGTATGGTTTCTGCTGCCAGTGTCTGATTCCAACAGCATCTCAGCTGCGAGGGGCAATGTTGCTCTGTATCAAAGCCCGCGTCAAAAGGAACTACTTGGCACAGATTGCCTTTGACGTCAAATTCTTGCAGCCTACCATCAGGGGCAGAAAGTCGAGCACATGCTCCTTTCTGTCAAACCCTGATTGGTCCTACCTCTGCCGATGTCTCAAACTACTACGGAAGCCAACTCCAGTTGACGGTCAGGCCCGCCAATATCTGCACAACCTCCCTTGGAGGGATCCTGAGCGCACTGAAGCAGCATGGTTTTTTTTTGCCACCCGCTTAGCTGACCTCTCGGACACTCTGCAGCATGGTTTAGGGTTTAGGGCTTAGGGTTTAGGGTTTAGGGTTTAGGGTTTAGGGTTTAGGGTTTAGGGTTTAGGGTTTAGGGGGTGCACTCTGTGCTCCTAAACAAGCACACGCTTCGGTCAATCTGGTGGTTGCTTGCCGGCAAGCGCATGAACACAACACAGGCTTTTGCATGGCGGTTTGCAACAAGCGTCCTCAGAGCTGAAAGCGGCAAGCAACGCCGCTTCACTCCTGCGGGCAAGAAATCTCTGCTTTTAAATCACCATGCCTGACAATTACCACAGAAGCCGCGGAACACGCACCTCACAAAGCCTCCCCCTTCTTTGAAGTCTGCTTGGCAGAAGGACAGGAAGTTGTGGTCGTTCAAAAGGCAGGTCTGCGGCCAAAGGTTTGATTTGAGAGCCCACACGACAGGAACGTCTTCATGGAAGCTATGTACCCCTGGAAAACACAGAAGCCACAAAACGAAAACAGGGGCAGCCTGGTGGATGGTTTTGTGTCGCTTGACAATGGACCAGGTGCAGCCCGACTCCCACGCTGTCTTTGCGGGGACCTCCCCCGGCGCGCAGTGTCCTGCCTTCGGCAAACCGTACCTCAGGCTTCGATTCATTCATCTCTGGCCTTTTTTGCTGTTATTTGCATTCGTCTGAGCCGTTTGTTCTGTCTCTTCACTCCCCTTACCAGTCCAGCGGCCAGAAACCAATGGGGCTTTCAGCTGCACACCTCGCGTCGACAACAAAGGGCCTTCCGTGCCTCCGTGCCTGAGTCACGCGCAGTGCAACAGCTACTGGAGCCTGTTTTCTCCGTCTCCGGCGAAGAAGGGAGCTTCCCTCCCAACCAGACGCGGATCTCCGCCCATACAACTAGGACCCGGCGGAGAGGTGTCCTAGAGCCGGCAGGGGCAAGCAACGATGCCATGCATCATGAGCGCACGAAGCTGGCTGAACTAGTCTGACTTAAGCGCTGCTCCGGGTAGCCATTGCACAAAGCATACCTCACATGGGTTGACGGCACATTTTCTTGGAAAAGGGCCTAGCAAATGCAGAAGCTGTATGTTCTTGTCGCTGTACCAGCTGCATGTGCACTATGCCGATGCAGCACAGGCACTGGCCAAATGCTGGCGAAACTTGGATCGTATACCGCGAGATCCTTGACTTGAGCTGGAATTGCTGCCAGTGCTTGTCGGACTGCAGTCCGGCACTGCAACAACAAACCGATCACGAAAAAGTAATGATCGGGCGCAAGTGGCCGCGTATAATTGTGGTCAATGAAGGAGGACTGATTCTGGAGGCAGTCCATACAAATGAAGAGAGCATCTCCCATCAAATCGGCCACATTCTGATCCTGAAACAAGCGCGCTGGGATTTCATACGGCAATCCGGACAACGCACCAGTAAACTTTGGCCGTGGTCATTCGCGGTCCTCAATGTTGTAGTCCAGTGCTGAGAGTCCAGGATGGAACACATACGCATCCTCAGCATTTTAGTAGCTGAGGCTACCCACCCCCCAAGCCCCCCCTAAACCCTCTGCTCCTACGGTTACATCCAGGCTCCAGAAGGACTGGCCCCATGTTGCGTCCATTCTCGCAGGGTGGAGCAAAGGAGTCGCAAATGCCGGGCTTCTCCAGAAGGGCCTGGTCGACCTGCAGAGTGCTCACGGTGGGGCAGCAAAGGGCTCAGGGATGCTTGGTATTTATAATAGATATAGATACAGAAAATATAGATATAGATATAGATATAGATATAGACATAGATATAGATATAGATATAGATATAGACATAGGTATAGATATAGATATAGATATCGATATAGATATCGATATAGATATAGATATAGATATAGATATAGATATAGATATAGATATAGATATAGATATAGATATAGATATAGATATAGATATAGATATAGATATACATACATACTTGGCTAATTCATTAGAAATGGCAACTAATACTAATCAGGTGGTTCTTACGAATATGTTTATTTGGGGCCTCCAACACACATGCACGAGTGCTGCTGCAGCCTGCACGGTCACCTGGCTGAATTGGTAGCTGGCCAGCAACTTCTTCACTGCTGCACCTAAGGCAGTGTTGCAGCCGATGCCTGTGCTGCGCGTCACGGAGTCCACTTGCGGCGGGGCGGCCGCTGGCGTTGCGCATCGTAATATTCAGTTCCACCGGAATATTTCCATCTGCACAGAGAGTCTGGTTTAACTTTTGGCTCCTGTCAGAATGAAACGTGCGACTAAACGATAAGGCAATCACCATGCACAGGCCTGATGCAAGTTCTGACATGTTCTTAGGAGGCCCGGGACCAACAATAGCGTTTGCACAGGTTCAACCTAACCTATGCAAACGACACGCATCGACCCACGGTCAAGAAGGCGGCTCCCGAATCGGAATCGCCACAGCTCACAGGCGCGTCCAGCCACCATGTGCTGCCCGACATATTCTGACAAAGCAGGGTTCTCGGCCCACGCAAACATGTCGTGGAAACCTTGGAAGCTTGGTGATGCTGGACAACTGCAGGTGAGCGACTGCACACGGGCAATGTGCAAACAAGAATCCTTGTGGCCCAAAC